TCGGTGAGGAGGGTCCGCCGGCTCCCGGGGGCTCTGCGATCCACGGCCGAGGACCCCAGGGGCTGGCAGCCTCGGGTGGAGGAGAAGCGACACCACAGCTTGGGAGCCCGCACCTCCTGGAGCGGGTAGTGGCATTGCACCTGGATGGAGCCGCCCACGGGGGCCTGCAGCGGCTCGGGGAGGCTGTGCGCCCAGCCCCAACCTGCGGGGGGCGGGGAGCCGGGTGAGCAAGGGGCAGGAGAGGGGCCACCTCCAGCCCCCCACAAGGTGACCCTGGGACCCACAGATGTGGTGGAGGGCCGTGATTCCCACAAAAGCCCACTGTGTATGCGGTACTGAGATACTCAACCCAGGGCCTCACGGGGGCTAGGCAAGCACTCTACCCCTGAGCTACCTTCCCAGCCCTAGGAAGGGATCTTTTAAGTTAAAAAAAAATACTTAAGGGGGGCTGGGAAGGTGGCTCAGGGGTAGAGTGCTTGCCTTGCATGCCTGAGGCCCTGGGTGCGATTCCTTAGCACCACATAAACAGGAAGAAAAAAAAAAAAGTAAGTGGCACTGTGGCTCAAGTGGTAGAGCACTCACCTTGAGCTGAACAGCTGAGGGACAGCGCCCAGGCCCAGAGTTTAGGCCCCACAACCAACAACAAAAAATTATATATATGGAATAAAGTATCAGAAGGCGGTATGGAAGAAAAGCCACAAGGAAGTCTGAAAGGTGCAATAGAATGGACAAAAAGATGGACAATGTGTGTGTGTATGTATGAGAGAGAGACAGAGAGAGACAGACAGACAGACAGACAGACAGACAGAGACAGAGAGAGGCAGAGAGAAGTAATGGACATTTGATGACTACTTAGGAGTTCATGCCCAACAGACTGCACACAGCAGGAAGAGGAAAACAACCAGGACCCAGGAGGGAAGGGCCCAGAGTGCCCAGGCTGGACTTGAGGGAGAGCAGGGAGGGAGGAAGGGAGGCCTAGCGGCTCCTGCCAAACTTTACCTGGAATGCTCAGGAGCAGCAGCAGGAGGCGGCCGGGCAGCATGGCTGGGCAGAAGAAGGTCGCTGCAGAGGCTGGTGGATCCCTGGCACAGCTGGGCGCCAGGGCAGGAAACGTCTGTCCCAGACAGTCACGTGGGCTTGCAACCACAGATGGGCAGACAGGGACCCGTGGGTGCCTCCCGGGGTTGGGGGACTTGGGGAGCTACCTCCAGGGTTGGAGGGTGGGGGGAGGTGGGGGAACTCTTCCAAATTCTGGTTGGCTCCTGAGCCTGAGAGAGGGGGTGAGACAAGGCAGTTAAGATGCAGAAGGGGGTCTTGGCCTCCTCCAGTGGGGGAGGCCAGCGGACCCCAGCAGTCGGAGGGCAGGAGCAAGAGGAAAGACTTTCAGGGTCTCCCAAAGATAGATCCAAAGAGGTAGAGCTCTGTAGGGCCCTACACAAGGCCCAATGCCATCTCTCTATGCGTGTCCCCACCACCACCACCAGGACCACCACCACCACCACCCCAAGCTCCCAGGACACCAGCTCAGTACGTCCTCTGTCCTTCACTGCACCCAGACTAGAACCTTCTTCACATCCTGTCTGGACACTCGGCGCTTCCCTCCCAGGTCCTGGGAAACAGGTGTTCCACTGAATAACAACTTCCCCATGTCCTTTTCCTCTTCCTGCTTGTGTGCAATCTGTTAATTCGTTAGACATGAACTCCTAAGCATTCATGGATGTCCGTTACTTCTCCTCCCCCCCCTCCCGTCAATCTTTTTGTCCATTCTATTCTGCCTTCTAGATTTCCTTGTGGCTTTTCTTCTATAGCTCCTTCCGATCTTTTATTCCTTAAATATTTTTTAGCTTAAAAGATCCCTTCCTCGGGGCTGGGAAGGTGGCCTAGTGGTACAGTGCCTGCCTAGCATGCATGAAGCCCTGGGCTTGATTATCTCAGTACCACATACACAGAAAAAGCCGGAAGTGGTACTGTGGCTCAAGTGGTAGAGTGCTAGCCTTGAGTAAAAGAAGCTCAGGGACAGAGCCCAGGCCCTGAGTTCAAGCCCCAGGACTGGCAAAAAAAAAAAAAAAAAAAAAATCCCTTCCTCATTCTCCAAGCACTCTTTATTTGTGACATACTACTTGTGCTCCATGGGTATTTTCCTCTCTTTTCACAATCCAGGCTTTGTGAGCAAAGAGCAGACCCAGCCTTGTTTGAGCACGATTGAGTAGCAGATCTGCCTTGGAAACGAGAGACTTCCAGAGAAGTTGCTTTGCGTCCTTTCCTTTCTTCTCCAGAGGAGATTTATGTCCCAGGGCAAAGCTTTCTCTCCTCTCTTTTCCTCCTCTTCTCTTCTCTTTCTCTCTTCCTTCCCGTTCCCTCTTTCTTTCTTTTTTCTTTCTGTTCCTTCCTCCTCTTTCTGCTCCTATTCTGCCTCTTCTCTTTTCACTTTTTTCTTTTCTCTTCCACTTTTCCTTCCTTCCTCTTCCTTCTCCTTTCTCCTCCTTCTCCTTTCCTTCCTCTGTCTTTTTTTTCCTCTTCCTCCTCTTCTCTTTCCTCTCTACTTCCCTCCACCTCCTTCCTTCTCTTCTTCTCCTAAGACTCAAACCTACTCCCTACACAGGAAGTAGCTAGCCTTTGTTCATGGGAACTGGGCTCGAATGTGAGTCACAACCCAAAGCAGTTGTCAGAGAAACTGGAGATGGATGGAGGAGGGTTGCTGCCACTGGTGGTCTCAAGCAAGAAACCTAGAAAAGAGCTGGAAGAGCCTTCTCCCTTGCTCCTCTCCCCTTCATTCCTCCCTCCTCCCTTTTTCCTTCCTTCTGGCACAGGCCATTGAAAATGGGGAACTAAGAGCAGGACCTGAGATGACCAGCTCGTGTGTTGAGCAGAGTCTGGTGGAAGTGGGTGACAGGGCCCCAGTCCCTGCTTGGGGAGGCAGAGGAAGAGGGGTACGGTTTCCCAGGACCTGGGTCTTTCATGCTGAAACTGGAGAAGTCCTACCCAAGCTGGTGCTTATACATTATAAGAAAGTTATTTGCCTTTAATAAACCAGCTGGGGCTGTTTTGTGGAGCACAGGACTAAGTTCAACATTTAGCTGCAGGTGGGGGTGGGAGAGGCAGATAGGATGGGTCCTGGACTCCAGGGAGACCTCATGCTACTGGGCTCTACAAGGAGGAAGTGTTTGCTGAGGAACACCTGCAGGACACCTGGCCAGGCACTTTCACAAATAGTACTTCTATCCGCACAAAAACACTGTGGAGCCCGGCGCCAGAGGCTCGCCCATCCTAGCTACTCAGGAGGCTGAGATCTGAGGATCACGGTTCAAAGCCAGCCTGGGCAGGAAAGGCCGTGAGACTCTTATCTCCAATAAACCACTAGAAAACCGGAAGTGGTGCTGTGGCTCAAGTGGTAGAGCGCTCGCCTTGAGCTGAAGAGCTGAGGGACAGCGCCCAGGCCCAGAGTTCAAGCCCCACGACCAAAAGAAAAAAACACTGTGAAGTAGACAGGAGGAGGACTGATTTGCTGACTGATGATTGATGACTGATTGATTGATTGACTCTTTTATCATCCAGGACACAGAGGCTTACAGAGGTGAAACTGAGACCCGATGATCTCTTCCTCTCCCTCAGCCCAGATCAGCAGAGATGCCAATCATCGCTCCATTCCAGACATGGCAGCTCTGCCACGCCACAGTGGGAAAGCATGGAACTCCTGAGTTACCAAGAACAGCAGAGCTCCATCTTGGGGCTAGAACCCAGGGCCGCCACTATGCTCCAGTAGTAGGCCTATTCCCTGAGCCAAAGTGCCCCTGATAAAAGCAGGTGCTGGGGACTCTGCTGTCAGTCCTCTCCTCTTCTGTCCTGGAGCACTATCCATTTCCTCCTCTCTCAGGTTTCTCACCCCGCCCCTTCTATTCAAAATGGCGGCACCCAACAGCTTCCCAACACTGCTCTTCACCTTGATTTGTTTCTACTTTGTTTCCTCAATCAGTGCCTTTCACCCTTCAACAGATGCTATCAAATTTACTGTCTTTATTGTGTTTTCTGCTTTTCCCACTAGAACCCCATGGGGGAAGAACTCAGGGCCTAAGCTGATCACGATTGCGTCTCCATCGCCCAGAATTGTAGCTGCCACAAACGAGGTGCTCAAAAACAATTGTTGTAAAAATGAATGAATAGAAATGAGCCCGAGGGAAGGATGCCTTGAGTGTCCGGTGGGATCCAGGGATCTTGGCTCACCCCCTTCTCCCCCGCGGAGCCTTGGTTTCCTTTCAGGCACCGAGAGGGATGGATATCTGTCAGCACCACCAGCCCAGCTCTGCTGTCCCATCCTGTGATTCTGTCTTTGTCATTTCTTGGAGGGGAAGTGATAGCTGGAAAGACAGTTCCAGAGAGATGAGAGGATGAGTCATCTGACTGATGGCCTGGGGAAGGGAAGCAGGCATGGGTGGGGAAGGCCGGGGGTGAACGAGGGACCAGCCCGGCACAGAGGGAGGAGTGGAGAAGGCCAGGAGATAGCCCACACTTGGTGATGGATCTAGGGAAGGGAAGGGAAGAAAATGAAAAGAAGGAGGAGGAGAAAGAGGAAGAAGGAAGGTGAAGGAAGAGAAGAAGAAGGAGAAGGAAGAGAAGGGAGGAGGAGGAAGAGGAAGAAGAAAGAAAGAAGGAGGAGAAGGAAGGAAGAAGAAAGAAGGAGGAAGAAAGAAGGAAGAAGGAGGAGGAGGAAGAGGAAGAAAGAAGGAAGAAGGAGAAGGAAGAAAGAAGAAAAAGAAGAAGGAGGAGGAGGAGGAGGAGGAGGAGGAGGATGGAGGAGGAGGGAGGAAAATGGAAGAGGAAGAGGAAGAAGAAAGAAAGAAGGAGGAGAAAAAAGAAGACAAGAAAGAAAGGAAGGAAGGAAAGAAGGAAAGAAGGAAGGAAGGAAGGAAAGAAGGAAGGAAGGATCCAATAACTACAGAATTGTCTTGAGTTGGAGCATGAATGTTTAATGCCTGAAACTCAAAAGCTGACAGGTGATCTACCCTCTACCCACTCCCCATGCTACCCTCTCCCTCTCCCCCCAGTAGATGTCCCGTCTTCCAGGCCCAGGGTAGGCAGGCTGCAGGCAGCCAAAGCATGACTCGGAGTCTTGGCAGCTGGTGAGCGTGCAGATTGGCCCCTGGATGGACTCACCCAGCTTCTCCTCTCATCCAAGCTCCGGTTCTCTCATGTGTTCCTTGGCCCTGCAACAGACTGAGGACTCAACCCTCCCATCCCTTCCCCATCCACCCAGCCGCTGCCGCATCTCACCTGTCAGGCAGACGCTGAGCGCCCAGGCTCCTGACCACAGTCCAGCCCAATGGCCACAGGTGTCTCCAGCTTCTGTCCACGCCGGGCCATGACGAACAGGGCACTGGCTGCGAGAAGTTTGCAGAACAAGATGCAGGCGAGAAGGAGGAGGATGGACATGGGCACGAAGGGGGTCTCTCCTAGCTGGCTCCTGGGAGAGAGAAGGAGGGTAGCTGGAGCCTGGTAGTGAGTCACACTGGAATCTGCCCTCAGAGCTGAAATGGGGAGAAGCCAGGAGCTTCTAGGGGCTTAGGAGGCTTCCCTGCCCCGTTCCATTGCTGGGGTAGGGCTTCATGAAGCTCTCGGGAGCTTAAGAGCCAGTCCCAGGCCACCAACCTGCTAAACACATCGCCTTCCCTCACCCAGCAGTGCTCTGCTGCCCTATTAATACTCTGTGTGCACGCACGTGTATGCATGCATGTGTGCCAGGCATTGTTCAAACCATATTTAGACACCAGTGCATCAGAGAGGACCATTCAGAATAGATCCTAGTCCTACCAAAGAGATCTGAAGGATCTAGTCTTGTGCCAAAAACGTAGAGCCAGTGGGGGAGGTGGGGCCTCCTCTGGGGCCTCCTAGGGAGGGGGCAGGAGTCTGCTTCTTCAGTGTCTTGTAAAATAAAAAATAACACACCAGGTGCTGGTGGCTCACACCCGTAATCCTAGCTACCTCAGGAGGCTGAGGTCTGAGGATCATCATTCAAAGCCAGCCCCAGGCAGGAAAGGCCAAGGATCATCGTTCAAAGCCAGCCCCAGGCAGGAAAGGCCGTGAGACTCTTATCTCCAATAAACCACTAGAAAACCAGAAGTGGTGCTGTGGCTCACACAGTAGAGCACTCGCCTTGAGCTGAAGAGCACAGGGACAGTGCCCAAGTCCAGAGTTCAAACCCCACAACCGACAATAATATTTTGGGGAGAGACAGAGTACTTGAACCTAGGTCCCCACATTTGCTAGGCAGGTACTCTACCACTGAGTCAAACCACCAGCCCTAGAGCAACACTCTAGACACTGCTATAGAAGGATTTCCATCTCTGACAGCTGGCCTGGTCACACTTAACTGTTTGAGGGGTGTTTGAACAAGACCATTCCCGGCCCCTTTCCTGCTCCTGGAATTCATGGTACTGGGTTCCAATCCCATCCCACCCCACCCCACCCTGCAGGGGGGGGTCCCACCTTCCCACTCCCACCCCACAGGGTGGGAGTCACTGCCCAGTCACTGTACCTGGAGACGCTGTGCTCCACTTGGACCCCTCCAAAGCTCTCTGATCCCTCAGGGACCCAGAAGTCTCCAGCACTCTGGGGCTCCAGGGGGTCTGTGGAGGGCAGAGCTGTGAATATACATAGTCTGTGGCTGTGGGGTGAACGATCCCTAGCCCCCCGCCATGGATCAGCTATTAAGCTCTGGCACGTCAGTTTCCTGATCTATAAAGTGGAGCCATTAGCAATGCCCCTTTGATAGTGGGGACTGGCTCAGGGGAATCTCTGCTAGTCCTGGCACTGCTAGGCACTGCACAGCACAGGTTCTCAGAACCTACAGCTCCCGCCCTGTCCCCTCTCAGGTCTGAAATGTTAAAAACAGGAGGCTCTGAAAGTCCCATGGGAACTGGCCGGGGGTGGCCCGCACGGTGGCCTGAGACCTTTGGGCCTGGCTGGGCCTTAGGCCCCGATTAGGGCTGAGCTTTGTGTCTCCTCATCCTCAGAGAAGATGCCTCTCCACCTTAGGCAAGTACTACTCCAGACCCTCATATCTGTGACACAGGGCCAGAGTGGAGATTCAGGTCTAGACGCTCGACTTGTTTTCTCTGTGACTCACTGTGTCCCGCTGACTAGACAGGACGGTGGCTCTGTGGCACTGGGAGTGGGAAAAGCCTGGGAGGAAGTCAGTGCAGAGCAGGAGACTAGCGGATGCCCCGTCTCCTCTCTCCCCACCACCTAGGGGAGCTCTGGGGACCCCAGGGTAACTCCCCCCCATTATCATCTCTTCAATAGAGAGGAACCCAGGTCTACCATGGGCTAGAAGAGGCCCAGGATCAGCCAGCCTTCCTTCGGAGGGGTGTTTTCTTTTTGAGAGGTGCTGAATTCACGCGAATGGGTCCCATGGCTGGTGGGATTCGCAGATGAATGAATCTGATAGACTCAGGGGCGAGCAAACAGATGAAGCAGTTCAGAGGAGCAGGGCGGAGGCTGGCTTAGCGGTCTTCATGCCAAGTAGGAAAAGATGCGCATCGTGCAGGTGATCGTGCCCTACACCAGGGGGCCCAGCGAGAGGAGTCTAGACTGGATTGGGGCTTCCATGCACAGTGAACAACCTACACGACCATCCATGGATGGATTTTCCCAGGGTCTCCTGGACCCTGGAGAGCGGCCTGCACTCCAGATGCTCTGCACCAGACCCAGCAGGAAGGGCAGGCGTGAGGCCCAGCCGCCCGCTCACCTGCCAGCACCTCCACCAGCACCTCCAGCAGCGTGTCAGCATCCTGGCCCCGGAGGCTCTAGCACTGATAGAGGCCTGCGTCGTGGGCTTGTAGATTCCGCAGGGTCACGGTGAGGCGCCCGCCTAGGGCATCGTCCACGATGGCCGTGCTGCCGTTCCGCTGCCTCAGGAAGGCCAGCACCCAGAGGCTGTGCGTGCTGACCACGCGCTGGCACGGCCCCCCCTCACCTCGCATGCGACACCAGGCTTTCCGTCGCCCCCAATGCTTCATCGCGTCGTACGGGCAGGAGACCTGCAGGGACTGGCCCGCCACACCCCGCAGCACGGTGGTGTTGTGGGCTCCCGACAGCGCTGGAGAGGAGACATTCATTCATTCAATTCTTCCACCACGCGCCCAGTATTTATTGAACACCTACTGCATACAGTGAACCAGACGGACAGAAAAAGCCCTGTCTTTTCAGGAGGAAGGAAGTGGCACCGTTCGCATCAGTGTGAGCTGGGAACCCAGAAATGCGGGTTCTGTGCCTGGGTTTCTCACTATGGTACTTGCTGGGCATCTTTGGGGAAAAAAAATAAATAACTGACCCTCTCTGGGCCTGTTTTCAGAGACACTTGATCTTCAAGCCTCTCTAGTTCCCCCCATCATATGAGAAAATGGCATCTCGTCTGTATCGAGAGAGGGCTGAGCTCGTGGCCCCCAGCGCTGGGCAGCCCTGGGCCTGGACTGGGCCCCTCCCCCCCCCGCCATGTTTGCCATCCACACTGGCACTGACTCCGCACGCTCCTCTTTCCTGACCTTTAGCTCCCAGCTTCCCTCTTTCTGTGGCTTTGTTCCCCTTTCAAGAAAGACGCGTCTCAGAGCTATTTTGAGGGAGACATGAGGCTGCTATTTTGGGGCTGCTTCGTAGGGGATGGAGGAGATGGGCAGGGGCTGCAAGCAAATCGACCAATCCCCTGCCCTCCCCCACCCTGTCCCTTCTCATTTAAGTGTACCCCTCATGCTGGGAGCGCAAGGGGCACCAGCCTGCATCTGATGGGGAGAAGAAGTCATGTGCAAGGATTTGGGGTGCTAGTGAACCCTCACCCCCCATCAAGAGATGAGGTCAGGCTGAGCACTGGTTCACGCCTGTAATCCTAGCTACCCAGGTGGCTGAGATCTGAAGATCCCAATTCAAAGCTGGAAGTGGAGGTATGGGTCAAGTGGTAGAATGCTAGCCTTGATTTTAGGAAGGAAGGAAGAGAGAGAGAGAGAGAGAGAGAGAGAGAGAGAGAGAGAGAGAGAGAGAAGCCAAGCAAGAGCATAAGGCTCTGAGTTCAAGCGCAATACTGGCACAAAAAAAAATAAAATAAAATAAATAAAAGAGCTGGGAAGGTGGCTCAGTGGTAGAGCGCTTGCCTTGCATGCCTGAGGCCCTGGGTTCAATTCCTCAGCACCACATAAGCAAAAAGAAACAAGCCAGAAGTGGCACTGTGGCTCAAGTGGTAGAGCGCTAGCCTTGAGCTGAAGAGCTGAGGGACAGCGCCCAGGCCCAGAGTTCAGACCCCATGACTGGACCCAAAAAATAAAATAAAATAAATAAGAAGAGCTATGGTCAGGAAGCTCTTCCTGGTGTGGGAGGGATGGCTTACAGATGCAGATTGCTGTCCTGGGCTCTTTTCTCCTTCCTTCCCTCTCTCTGATGCTCTCTGGGACAAGTCACATACTCATATGGTTCATAAGTTTGGCAGCTCTGACCAATCAACCCTCACTGGTCCTGCCCGACGGCCAGCTCAGGCCTGAGATGCCACCCCCAGAACGCCTTCCCTTCCCACATGACCAGAATCCCCTGGATTCTGGCCTGCGTGGGCTCCGATCATGGGGAGGAGAGGGTGCACCAGGCACGCGGGGCTGCTGCCTTCTCCACAGCCTCCCTCATGCCCACCCAGCCCTACTAGGCTGAAGGCCAGACAGCAAAGGAAGGCATGGCAGGCGAGGAAAGGCTCTTACCTGTGACAGAGAGCAGGGCAAGCAGCCGGAGAGGATCCATGCCACCCATCCCCAGCCGAGGGCAGACACGGAGTGCCTTGTGCAAGATCTGCTCTTTCCCTTGAAGCGCAGAAAAGAGAGGGTCAGGCGCTGCCCACAGGAACTGGGCTCCTGGAGATTGAGCAACCGTGGGGACTGGGGTCTGGCTTGTGATTCAGGGAGGGGTGTGTGGGTGTGGGTGTGTGGAGCTGAGGATGGCAGACCTGTAAGAGGCCAGCTGCCTGCCAGTGCCAGCCAGGGTGGCCCTGTCGGAGTGGGATTCTGCTCAGGCTCCACTGTAGCCATCCCCTCCTCTGGCTGATTCCAGCCCTAAGGGTTGAGTTGCTCCCCTAGGACATAGGACCTCTGCAGGCCCCTTCTGGTCTTTCCCTCTGTCTGGATCTCTTAAGTAAAGCAGGAACCAAGAGTGTAGGTGTGGAGGCCAACTTCCTGCCACATCCCACATGCCCATGGGCCCTCTGGGCCTCGGCTTCCACGTCAGTGACATGGGAACAGCAGTCATGCACAGGGTTACCGGGAGGGAGGATGGCTCACATTCCTAGAAACTGAAGGCTTTCCAACATGGCCAGAGAGGGTGGGCCTGACCTCCCGCTCTGGGGGTCGCCCACACGGGAGCGCTGTTTCCCGGTCTTGCCACAGCTTAGTGTGAAGAATATATCAAAATTCTAGCTATCCGGGAGGCTGGGATCTGAGGGTCATGGTTGGAAGCCAGCCTGGGCAGGATGGTCTGTGAAACTCTGATCTCCAATTAAGGCCAGAAGTGGAGCAGCTGTGGCTAAAGTGGTAGTGTGCCAGCCTTGAGAGAGAAAAAATGTTCAGGGACAACTCCCCGAGTTCAAGCCCCTATACCAGCATGTCGGCCCCATGCCCATTCCTGGGGCCTGCTCTGCCTCCTTAGGTACACAGGTCTCTTGCCCACCCCCTCTTTTCCATGCTGGGATTGTTCGGTCATGATCACAACTTCGCTGGGACACTTCACTTCTGGTTTCCTTATGGCCTTGATCTCCAGAATTGTCTCAGATATTTATTTTGATTCTGTTTTGCTTCAGACAGGAAGGAGTGGAGGGTGGACCAGCCCGACCCCAGGGATGCTGCTCACACTGTAGTTATCAGCAATGGAACCCCAAACTTCTGGCACCCCAAAGGCCAAGGCATAGCAGACTCCTCCCTCCTTCTCCTCAATCCCCCTGTCTAGAATGGCAGGGTAGTTGGATGGTGGCCAGTTCCTGGGCACCGTGGCAGGAGAAGGGTTCCCATGCTTGAGGTCACAGCTCTGGAGAAGGGCTTCTGGGCGTTGCTGGTGGCATAGGAGGGTGAAAGGGAAGAATGCAAAGCATCCTATCTGGTTAATCGGGAATCTCTTCCCAGGAGCTGCCCAGTAGAGTCTTTCACAAAAACCCCAGCACGCCTCTAGCTGTACATGGTCTTGATTGCCTTGTACTGGCAGGATTGTGTTCCTTCACCTAATATACATATATGCACATACCTGTGTGCACACATTTACACATGCATGCATGTGCAAGCATGAGATTCTTTTTTGTTGTTTGTTTTGTTGCTGGTAGTGGTGGTGGTGGGGTTTGAACTCATGGAGGGCCTGGGTGCTGTCCCTGAGCTTTCTTGCTCAAGGCTAGCACTCTACCACTTAGAACCACAGCTCCACTTCCGCTTTTCTGGTAGTTTGTTGTTGGAGATAAGAGTCTCCTAGACTTTCCTGCCTAGGCTGGCTTCAAACTGTGATCCTTAGATCTCAGCCTCCTGGGTAACTAGGATGACAGGTGTGAGCCACCGGCACCAGACAAGTATGAGATTCTTCGGGGAATTCTTATGAACCCCCAGAAGCATGGCGGCTAAACGTGAGCACTGAACACTCTTTGTGTATCTCTGGGAAATTAACCACTCTCTGCCTCAATTTCTCCATCTGCAAAATAGGGGCGGGGGAAACACCTAAGTTCTTAGGAGATTTGAACCATTCTTGCATGTAGAAGGGTCTGGCATATTAAAAAACACCCCATCCATGCTAGCCCCCATGAATTGTCCTAACCTAAACCCCAGGCCTTGCAGCCGAGACATCTCTACTCACTGCCTAATCAGTGCAGCCCTCAGCTCCAGGCACTTTAGTCTGAGAAAATCCTCTCGGTTTAGACAAATCATGGGGAATCTAACCCCTAAATGGCTCCTGGGCTGCCTGCAGCTGGACTAGTGTGGGCAGGAGACTCAAGACAGGGAGCATGTGGTAAAGGTGGGCCCCCCCATGAGGAACGTAGAGTCAAATGCAGTCTAAGAACGGAGGTGCTGTTATAGCGTTATGGCAACCAGTCAAGGTCAGTTCAAGATCAATTCAAAGACCCCAGAGCATGGATGCAGCGATTGCTGGTCCTCTAGCAGTCATATCCAGGTTGCAAAGGAGGACATGTGCCTGCCTGGGACTGGCTGCCAAGACTCCAAGACCAAGTTGATGCTCAAAGCACCCTGCTCCCTCCCCGTGCCTGCCTCTTGGTCTTCCACCTGGGTGCTGGGGTGCACAATCGGTGTTTCCCAGGGAGCCTCAGGCTGGAGCCTGAGCTACATCAGGACACCGAGGCCCCAGAAGGTGGCAGCAGAGATGTCACAGCCGGAGGCTACAGGAGCTTACACCGCTTCCTCCTCCAAGAACACCTCATCCTCAAGGGCCACACCTGGCCAGGCTCCACACCTCCCAACCTTCTCCTCACAGCATCTCACCCGCTTCCTGGCCATGTTGCCACCGGCCTCAGTCCCGCTCAGTGGAAGGGCTGGTGTCCTCCCAGTGGCTGAGGATAGGATTGCTCCTGGGTGACAAAAACCCTCCACAAAGCAGCTGCCCAAGCAGGAGGCGGGGAGGTCTCTGTCCTCTTGAAACTACACCGTACCCTAGCAGTGGGGGCTGTACCATTTGAGGCACATCCACAGCCCTGTGAGGCCCGCTGCCCGGGTGTGAGTCCCACTGGCCAGGTTTGGTGACCTTTGAGGTCACCATGGAGAGGTGATACATCCATAACCCCTAGCAATGGCCCCACCATGGAGCAGAACACCAGCTGTCCACTCATTCTGCCTGGACCCAGTTCTGGGCAGAGGAGCAAGGGCAAGTACAAGGGCTCAGGGCAGGTTGGACCAGGCCAGAGAGGAAGGCTCCCCAGACGGCTTTCAGGTCTGGAGAAGCATCAAGAGAGGAACTTACACAATCCACCGGGATTGCACCGCCGAGGGCAGGAAGGAAGCCGGAGTCACAGAAAGACGAGCTGGGGTTACACAGAAACCCCGCACTCAGGGCCCAGACCCCACAGAGGGCAGAGGGCAGAGGTGCAGCCCTCTAGGTAGATGAGGGCTTTCACTCAGGGCAGCATGGCCCTTGATAGCATCTGGCTATTTTAGCTACACAGGATTCCGCACTGCCCCCACCCCTCTCCACCCCCCCTTGCTGGTATGGTAGATTTGTACTTAGTGAGCATTTGGTAACTGCTCGCTGTCCCGGGAATTCTGCCTTTGATTCCTAGATGCCTCCTCTGGGGCAGCAGATAGGGGGCGCTGTGGTCTGCTTCTGGCAATGCTGGTGTATTCCACGAACAGTACAGGGTCCGGCATGGGCTTCTGGGCAGGGTGAGTGTTGGCATAGACGGACTCTGGAAAGCCCAGTGGGTTTGAGTGGATGAGTGAAGCATAGCAGAGGCTCCCCGTGTCCTCATCGGAGACGATCCGCCCATCAGAACCCTGGCAGCAAGCAGAGACACGGAGGGACACTGTGGGTTACAATCGGAGTGGCTGCTAGCTTCTGGGTGCCCAGAGCTGAGTGGAAGGAGGAGATGAGGGGCAGGGTGTTCGTCATGCAGAGCTCCTGAGGATTGGCTGGCTGAGCATCCCTGACCTGGCCCTCCCCCCTCCGTGAGCCTTCTACTCTTCACCAAAGAGCTGGCTCAACATGCAACAGAATCAGGCTCCACCCAGAATCATTGAGGCAAGGTTTGTAGGAGCAGGGCCTAAGAAACGTACGTGTGTGTGTGTGTGTGTGTGTGTGTGTGTGTGTGTGTGTGGCCTCACACATGTAAGACAAGCATTGTCTTCCCAAGCCACAACCCCAAGCTTTGGGTTTTGAGAACAGGGCCTTGCTACATCGCTCAGGCTGGCATAGAACTCTTGATCTTCCTCCCTCTACCTCTTGATTGTCAGGAACACAGGTAGGCATCATCTAGCCTCTGGAGAAGTCATCTTAAACGCTTAACAAGAGATTTGTCTGCACACTCAAGTAAGTGGCACTGAGCTAGGAGAGGACTTGGTAGCCGCGCTGTGTATAGAACTGGCTCCCCTATTACACAGAGGAGGGTGGGTCGGCAGCCAATCCTATGGCTCCGTGCTTTCAGGTATCTCACGTAGAGCTGCCCCAGGGGGAGCTCCCAGGCCTGAGCCTCTGCGGAGGGGCTTGGGGAACCCTGTTGTCCATCACAGAGATTGAACAATGGTAGCCAAGCCATAGGCTGGCCTGTGACCTAGGAGGCGGGAAAGGCTGTCTACCGTGGGAGTGCGGGTGAAGAGTCGGGTCAGCTAGTCTCTCTGTCTCTGAGTCTCTCCCAGGATCAAGACTTGAGTTAGGAAATTCGGGGAAATGTGACTAGGCCACGAGGCGGCAGGGGCACGAGCCATCACGAGTGTGTGTCAAAAGTTGGTATAAATAGAAACCATGAGTAAGTGCCAGCTGGGAAGTTTGAAAGAGCAATAGCCGCAGGTCCTCTGAGCTGTACCCACTCACCGGGGGCTCTTCCTTCCGCACTGGAATATCATCATAGACGTGGTGGAATTCATTTTCACCTGTGCAGAAATCAGTCAAAGTGAGCTAGGGCCCACCCCTGCCCTCCTCCCGCCAAGATAAAGGAGGAGGGCAGCAGGGACACTCCCCAAGGGGAGAGGCTTGCAGGGAAGTGCCAAGCGCCCACCCCAGAGCAGTGCCTAAGAGTGCTAAGAAACCAGAGGAACTGCCGGGCGCTGGTGGTTCACGCTTGTAATCCTAGCTACTTGGGAGATTGAGATCTGACAGGAGAGGCTGTGAGACCCTTCAGTTAACCACCAGAAAACCAGAAGTGGTGCTGTGGCTCAAGTGGTAGAACACTCGCCTTGAGCTGAAGAGCTGAGGGACAGCACCCAGGCCCAGAGTTCAAGCCCCACGACATAAAGGAAGGAAGGAAGGAAGGAAGGAAGGAAGGAAGGAAGGAAGGAAGGAAGGAAGGAAGGAAGGAAGGAAGGAAGGAAGGAAGGAACCAGAGAAACTGGATTCCTGTGGCTAA